AATCATTATTATTTCCAAAGTAGAAGCCACATTTTCTATAAAAGGCTACCTGAATGATAGCTAGACAACAAACGAAGTATCTTGATCCAATTTAAATTTTCTTGCTTTGTGAATAGAGATATAACTATTTGTTTTACTCAACCTCAAAACTTAAACAAAGCTTGGCTTTTGTTCTATGTGCTTTCATTCTGAAATTTCTGCTTTCAGACCGTATTTATTTTCCCCTACTAAAATTAGTGTCTTTCTCTTTGTGTTCCTACGGACATTTATATGCTCCTCCAACACATGACTTCTCATACTGTATTATAATAATTACATATTTACAATTTTGTCTCTAATTCCAGATAGTAAGCTCCCTGAAGCTACAGATTATATTTTTTCATCTTTGGGGACGCTGAGGCATAGTAATAAGATTTTCACAATGTGTACTGAATGAATTAATTATTAAAGATCTTCAAAAATTTTAAATGCTGACGTTGAGGAATAAGACTGATAAACCACCACCCTGTAGGTTTATCATACTTATTTCAGAGGTACCAGTTAACCCTCTACACATTTGTCTATTCAATAATAGGCTGGGTAATAACATCAGTCTACTCTATGTGAATATGCAACCAAGAAAATATAAAAAGGCTTGATTTCTACCAGATTAGTGCTTAAGACAATGATCACTGTATGACAATAATCAAACATTCCATAAGTAGTAATATATGAGCAGTCTTGGATGATAATCCTAGAAAGGTAAAGGCTAATAATAGAACAACAATAAAATAAGAATTAGTTCCACATACTGTGCTTTGTGTGATACATTGAGCTAGGTAGACCATATCATCACTACTGGAATAGAATGGAGGATAGGAGTTAGCATTTCACTGCTACTAAAATAAAGAAGGCTTAATGAAAAAGAGTGCATACTCCTATTACACCACTTACACATTATATTGCGATTACCTGTTGATTGTCTGTCTCTCTTACTAAACACTGTAATCCTTGAGTGCTTGAACTTTGTCACTTACTATAGTAGATCCAATATTTAGCATAGTTAGTTCCTAGCATATGCTTTGCTTTATACATATTTCTTGAAAGAATTAATGAAGTGAGATAATTATGAGGTTTTTAGTATCTATTACATCTTAAGATTTAATTCTAACCATAAGCTGTGGTTTCGGAAAAGGGGAAGAATCAGTGATACAGACATAGAATAAGGGTTAGCAAGGTTTACCCAGGTGAGGCAAAGACATATAATGAAGAAGGAAGGTGAGGGAAAAATAAAAGCTAGTTTATGCAGGGATGCCTGATGGCCATGATACCCAGCAAAATCAATTTAGTTTTAATGTAAAAATGATAAGAAATCAGAGTTTAGGTATCAAAAACATGAGTAAATCCTTTGGGAAGTGATGTTCCACATCACATATTTGGAAATGTGTTGCTTTTCTTTTTCCATATGATTAAAAATTTTAATATAAATTCCAAAATAAAAAGTCTACCGTTAGAAAGGGATTATTTATTTTATGTAAAGTCTTGTCAAGCAAACTGTTGGGAAAATAAGTGAAATGAAAAGCCTATATTCAGCAAAACAGTAAGATGGTTATAAAACAAAGCAGAAGTCATCTCCAACTTATATTCATCTCACATGGA